GGGACAGGGGGAATAAAGTAAACAATTAATTACAAGTTGATGTGAACGCTGGGTGCCATTATAGAAGTATACAGCAGGTGTGGGGGGAGGAGTTCCAAGAGATGCCTGAGTGTACAGGAGGGGCAGTTGAGAAGAGCTAGGAAAGGAGTTGCATTTTATGCATGATCTTGAGTAAATTATTTAAGCTTCCCTATAACATACATATAAATAACAGTTGTCTTGAATGGTTGTTCTGAGAATCATATGTTGTTAAGACAGCTAGCACATGGCAGGTACTTAATAAATGCTGCTTTTACTTTTCAAGTCCAAGTTGAATGGATGATTAGTTGTTTTTTCTGTTCAGTTTTGTACTGACTTTGATGGGTATGTAACCACTGTGCTTTGACTCAGAAGGATAAAATGCAATTGAGAAGTATTGCACTGGTCAAGCTCTTACTTTTGCAGCCAGTGAAGTGTGCCCATGTAAATCATGCCTCCTGTGACAAGGCATGATGTTTTTAAGGCCATGGCATCATAATAGGCTCTGGGAAACAGATCAGTAATGCTTTTCTCAGGTGCAGCTTTTCTCCTTACGTCACACTGGTGCTACTATCAATGGTTATTGAGTACCAGGAAGAAAAAGACACAGCACTCACCATGAAGCATAAGGAATCAAATGGAACAGACTCAGAGTTCAATACTGAATAAGAGTGGCATCTATTTTCAAGATTCTCAATAAAATTTATGTATATAAAGAGTCTCAAAAGCACACTAGTTGTTTCTGTATGTTATGCAGAGTCAGCACCTCATCCAAAGGCAAGAGGAAAGCTTAAGGACAGCATTATAACCACATTTATAAAAGTGGGTAGGCTATGAAATTAATTTTTATTGGAACACCTACTCATGAGGTGTAGCGTCTTTAAAAATCTAAGATGATATAAAATAATGTTATTTGTTGAAAAATTTAACCCATCCATTAATTCTTTACCCATCTTCCACTGACTGCACCTTATTCCCTAGCAATGGTATGAACTGTTCCAGCTGACACAGTAGCTTCGTGGTTTCAACATTTTTGTATTCAGTATTACAGATTGCACTGGCATAAGGAGATTAACATTATTATTTTAGGAACATCAGATGCTGTAATTCTGAGAGATGTTTGTAAAGATGCAGAGGAAGAGACTAAACTCAATGATTGAAATCTACTTTTCTAAGATTATATAACCTCACAAAAACAAATAAATGAAAAGCTATTTCTATTAGAGATGTGTTTTATTTAACACAATTTCTTAAAATAGCAAAAGTTTATGTAGCTCTTACAGTATGAGAGGCACTGTTCCACATGCCTCATATATGATATGTCCTGTAATAAAAGCCTGAGTTATGTGCTATTAATATCAAAATTCCACTGTGCAAATGAAGAAACTGAGTCACCGAAAACATAAGTAATGTATCAAGTAGTATGACAGCTTGGCAGTGGCCCAGCTGGGGCCCTGAGCCCAGGTAGTTTGGCTTCAAAGGTCACATCTCACGCGACCTTTGTAAGACTCCCTCTCATGTCTGTTCTAAGACACCATTGTTGAATGTATCCCACAGTAGGTCACAATCAAAATATTTAATTATAAACTAGAATGTCTGTAAAGTTGTATGTAGTATTTTGAAGACTAAATTCTAGCAACTCAAAATTTTGACCGTTTCAGTATGTTTGGCATGCATTATTTAAACTATATATTTAGTATGCATTATTTAAACTGTATGTGTTTAGCCCAATTTTACCCTGATACTCCAATACCCTGGAGGTCAATACACAATTACACACACACACAGAAGGATGAACTTAGAAAGATATCAGAGCGCTTTTTTAATCCTAATGACTAAGATCTGCTACTGGCATTTAGTTGGTGAGCCTCAAGGATGCTAAATATTCTGCTCTTGTAACACAGGCCGCATGGCAGAGAAATGTCCCACCCAAAGCACCAACAGTGTCCCATTGAGAAGGACTGAAGCACTGCATCCTCCCTTTTATATATGGTTTACACTTTCTGAAGTGAGCTTGCACATTTTAGCATAGAAGAAATCATTCAAAGATACACTCACATTAAGATACATGTAATATGAAATAATAAAAACTATAAAAAGGCTTTTTGTACATTTAGTAGGAATATTAAATTCTTCCAATTTTCTCTGACTTGGAAAGCAGGGGGAGTGAGCTGTCCCATTGAGCTGATCCACTATGCAGTTAACAAAATATTTCGGAAGTTACAATATCCATCATGGCTTGACTTCAATTCAAACTTCAACAGGTATTACAGCCCCCTTCATTCACTGAGAATGTAGACCTGCACTTATTGAAATGTACAGTAAACTGTCATAAATGCTGAATGATTTTAGTTTGTAGTCAGTTTATTTTAACACTGAAAAATAGACAATAACAAGTGTGACATGATTTAGTGGGAAAGTAAAGGGACTTTTCAGTTAAACATGTAGGGTTAAATGTCAATTTTTCCATTCCCCAAAAGAAAGTTGCATAATTCCCAAGCTTTATTTTGAGTCTGAATAGGCTAGTTAGGCCATAAAGCTGAGGTCAGCTTCAAATTTCAAATACCTCATGAAAACAAATGAGGGACTACAGCACAAGAAACCACAACCACCAATGATATAATAACAGAACGCTTGGTTTTCACTCTCAGTGACAGATAGTAAAGGGGAAAGAGGAGAGCTTCCATTACTTTTCTTACTTTTCCTTAGTCATAACTCCTAAATATCTTTGGCAAATTAAGGAAAGAAAAACAATGTCTACATATTAATTAAGTAACCCAGTGAGATAAGTTAGTTATGTGCCTTATTATGCTTTATGATGTACCTAATGAGCTACATTAAATAATGATGACGCCAAAGAAATAACACCCTGGGACTGGGGGCATGGGAAGGACATTCCCAAGACCCTCCTCAAAGAGGAAAGGCCCCAGTGCTCACCAGGGTGTGGGCTCTCTCTGCAAGCTGGTCTCTTCAGATTTGGGACCATGCAATAGCTGCCAGAGCGTCTGGGCAGGTAACGGGCGCTGAAATACATTTGTGTATCAATGGATGGTTCTAAAACTCCAGGTCACCTTACTTTCAGATATCTCGAAATTATTTCCAAACCTCTAAGTTAATGTGACTATATTCCAGGTTCCAACCCCTCAAGTCTCCTTCCAGTTTTATTCTAGTCTTTGTGAAAATCTTTTCTCTACTTCAATTCTAACATTATCTTAATAAACTTCTAAAAAACATTCGTTTTGCTCCTCTGTCTCAGAGAACCCACATACAGGTAGCTTGGTTATCTTTTGCAACAATATAGTTAATTTTTTTCAACACTCCTATATTTCCTACATGATAATATCCTTTCCGTAATGAATGGTCAAACCCTTGGGCTACATTTGAGTTTTCTCTTCAATCAAGTACCAAATTGTACATATGAGTATTTTACCTATGCTATATCACCATTTGTGCCTTCCCTTCTCTCTCTATTATCCTAATTCAGGCTTTAATTACTTATATTTTAGACTATTGTAATAATCTCTCAGTTTTTTAAAATGAAACAAGCAAACAATTATTGAGAACTTACTCATTCTAAACATTTACTAAATACTAGAGATTTCAAGAAAAGTTCTTTGCTTTCATGAAGAATATGATAGAAACAAAATACACAGGCAAAGGCCCCGATTCTCTGGTTTACAGACACCCTGTAAAACAGATCTTCATTGAACACAGCTCGGACCACATCTCCCTCTGCTCCGAGGAGGAAGGACAAACATCCCCACATGCAGTGCCTTCCATACATGGGCTCCAGCTGTACTTCTGTTTTATTTTCCTCACAGTGACTCACATGCAGCAGGAACTCCAGAAACTTGAGTGAATCCTTTCAATTTTATCATGCTTTTCAAATTTGTAGTCTTAATAATCTCTTTGCAGAAAAGCACAGTTATACATACTTTAGAATCTATTCATAGTTTGTCACTTCACAAACTCTGAGAAGTGATTTTTCTCAGCTGGTGACAGAACTGGAACACAAACTGGGCTCTGGCTTTCCACTCCAGACCTTGTACCACTGTACCAGGTGCCCCCCGTGACAGGGGTGGGGAGGTGGATCACAGGTTCCATTTATGGAACCTGTGGTATGGGACCACAGCTGTGGTGTTTCGTATCCTGATGTATGGTAAGGAGGTAGAGAAGATGCAGAGGCTCCTGTCCTATAAGCCATTAGTGCTAGTCCTCATTCTCTGGTATATAAAAATGACTTTAAAGGGGAGAGGAAAAGGAAAGAGGTTCCCATTTCCCTTCCTTTCTTCCTTTGCTGTTCATCACTCTGATCCTACCTATAAAGACCCCTCAGTAGACAGAGAGTTGGGGTGGGATGAAAAGTGAACCCTGGGTAAGAACACAGGCCACAGGAGAAGGAAGAGAGAAGACAGACAAAGGAAGACTAGAAAAAATGCAAGCCAGAAGCAACAAGGGAGAAAGGCCTGTTAAGGGTAGCAAGCATAAAATCCAGTTGACACTTGAACAACATGAGTTTGGACTGCATGGGTCCATTCAGGCACAGATTGCTTTCAGTAAACACCTGTACTGCTTCTGATCTGTGGTTGGCAGTCTGCGGATGTGGGGGCCAGCAGTGTGCACTGATCTGTGCCACTTTATACCCAGTACTTGAGCATTCGGGGATTTCAATATTCACAGGGGTGAGGCAGGAGGGGGGCTGCTGTGGGCCCTGGAAGCAACTAAGTTTGTTGGGGAGTCAAAACTTATATGCAAACTTTTGACTGTGCAGGGCTTGGCACCCCTAAGCCCCACATTATTCAAGGGTCAACTGTGTATATAGTCAAGGAACTATCTGCAGTGAAATTGAAGACACTGTGCCTCTACAGAACCATGTGGAAAACTGCCTTAATTTTTATGGTTCAGTCTTAGTAGCATTAGACAGCCAGCGTACGTCAGTGGCAAAATGTAAAGACCCTTAGAAAAAAGAGAGTAAGGCTTACATCTTGTCCGTCAACACCAGCCAGACCTGGGTCTCCTTTTTCTCCTTGTTCACCCTAGAAAGAAACAATTTAAACAATGGAAAATATTACACATAAGAACCTTTACTAAGAAAAAAAAAAGAGTTACACTGTTTGGGTATTTATAACTGTGATTACTTTGTTAATCCCTTGAAAGAAACATTTATTAAAAAAAACAATTCTGAGTTCTAAAATCAAAGAGAGGTTTAAAGGTTCAAAGAAAAGCTGCATAAAAATGATTAGAGTATAAATAAACAAGGATTATTTGTTTGCTTTTATAAGAGACAAGGAAGTTTCTGGAGGGCAATTTGATAATATATATCAAAGGTCTTAAACTTGTTCATTTCATTTGGCTCTGTGATTTCAGTTCTAAGAATGTATCATAAGAAAATAATCAGAGATAGAAAGGCTGAGGCACCAAGACATACAGCTGAAGTGATATTTATAGTAGTAATAAAGAGTAGTAATAAATATCTTAAATGTCCAATAATTTTTAAAAATATGGTATATTGATACAAAGGAACATGATCAGCCATTAAAACCATGTTTATGAATATTATTTTAAACTATAGGAAAATTCTCATGATGTAAAAAGTAAGATACAATTATTGGATTTACAAATTCAGTGAATGTTAACCAGTATCTATTTTTATAACTTTAAAGTTACAAATTTTTCAAATGGCCAGTAATACCATTGCTGATGACACACACCTATAGTGACATATATTACCATCTGAAAGCTATTTTCTTTTATTGGTAAGCCCTGCATATTGCATATCTATAGCATGATTAATTTTTTAATGTCTGTTTACTTATCTACCTACTGTGGTCTTAGAAATAATATTGGAAGAAAACAACCCAAACAATATAAGTGGTAGATCTATGCCTTCTATGATTATGGGTAATTTTTTCCCTTCAGTATACTCTTCAACATTTTTCATTTTTAAAAATCATAAACATGTGTTATCTGTATAATACGTTATTATATAGAAAGAACTCAGTGAAGTCTCAGTCTGTCATATCACAATATGAGTGTGTGCATGTGGGTGAATGTGTGTGTGTAAAAAGGGGAGGGGAGAATAGTAGTAGTAATCTCTGCTTCGTGTCACTGGGGTGGTTTCTATTCTCTTCATCATATGTTCTGTTGTTCTTCTTCATTCATATCTTTTCTAAAATAAACACATTTTTCTTTGCAAAGAAATAAAAAAAAGCAAGGACCTGATTTTAAGAGTTAATACATTATTTACTGAACAAGCAGAAATGCCCATGCGCAGGCCCAATTATCTGGGACTGTGCATTACTACTGTGTGAAAACACAGGATTGAAACAAAATGCCTGCTGGAACATGTGAAATATATATTCATATGTATTATATATATTCATATATATGAAATAACAGGTATCATATATATGGTGAAAAAAGTACATTCAGTGAAACTGGTCCGAGTCAGAGTGAAGCTGGGATGAAAGAGATAATCTAGGGCTGAGCTAGATGCACTAGATGTGGTAGCCACTAGACGCATGTGGCTACCTTAACTTAAATTAAGAGTAACTGCAATTTAGAATCAGTCCTCAGTTGTCCTAGCCACACATTTAAATGCTCAACAGTATGTTTAGAGGAAAACATTTCCATCATCAGAGAAAATTCCATTGGACAATGCTGATCTAGAAGATGTTATTTTTGACAGAAAGCAAAGTAAGAATTAAGAGGCTCGGGAATACACAGAAGAAAAAATCTACCTAGTAATGGGATCAGAAACAACACAGTGTCTAGATAGTGAGATGAAGTGTATTCAGCACAAACTAATAGACTGAATTGAAATTTTTGACACAAGAAAACATAATTTCATGGATATCACCATTAACTTTCAGAATATAACTAAAAATAAATAGTCTTTATTAAAAATTAATGGTTCCCATAGATGGAAAAAATAAGCAACTGTATATATTTAAGAGATATGTGCCTACAAGAAAAACTATAAGCATAAACCCCTGACAGTGGTAATAAAAGTTAAATAATAATATAACAGGTTTGAAATTCTGATGGGGTTTATGCCGCATGGCCAGAGGATGAGAGATGTAGCAGAAGGCTAAAGGAAGAAACACACTGCTTCAATTTGATCCCTGGTAAAATCTGCAGTGAATTTTAAAAAGTATAATTTTTAATATAAACAATAAGTTTATGTCATATGATCAAATAAGGGTCATATAAAAAAAGTCACTTATTTTATTGTTAATCATTGTTACCAAACCCATCTACAATGTTTACTATGTGTCAAGCACTGCATTAAACATCTTGCAATTCTATGACAATTTAGGATAAAGGTAACGATCATTACCCTAATTTTACAGATCGGAGAACTGAAGACAGAGAGGTTAAATAACTGCTCAGGGTCACACAATTTACAAGGAGGGCAGGGCCCTGATTCAACCCAGGCAGTATGGCTCCAGGGTCTGTGATCTAAAACTATTAAGCTCATTTATTATTAGAAACATCCCAGGGAAAAGAAAAATATAATATATCTGGATTTCTGCAAAGAAGGAAGCAATGTCCCTCAGAGTGGAAAAAAATTACAGGCCAGGTTATGTTACTATTGGTGAGAGTGTAAATGGCAGAGGAACGGTGTCCAATGGATTGGTCGCTCTCAATCTCTCTCATCAATCAAATTCTCTTAATCCTGGCATTATTGACAACAATTCTTTGTTGAGAACTCTCCTATTTATTGTAGAATGTTTAGCATTTTCCCTGGCCTCTATTCACTAGGGGTGAATAGCCAGCCTCTCCCACACCCCTCCAACTCTCAATCCTGAAAAATAAAAACGTCTCCAGTCATTGCCAAATTTCCCATAGAGGGTGAAATTGACTGCAGTTGAGAATCACTAATATATTATGTATTATGAAGATATATGTAACAGATTCATAGTATGAAATGTTACAACAGACTGAAATAATACGCTATAATAAACAACATGAACTGTATTAAGATAAATGTGTAATCTTGTATTTAAGTTAATTCTGGATGGGATAGAGAACCTACTTAAAAATAAGTATATTAAAGAAGCAGAAGGTCCTACCCTTCACGACAGCATGGATGGAACTGGAGAGCATTATGCTAAGTGAAATAAGCCAGGTGGTGAAAGACAAATACCATATGATCTCACATATAAGTGGAACCTAATCAACAACAAAAAAAACAAGCAAGCAAAATATAACCAGAGACTTTGAAATTAGGAACAAACTGACAGTAACCAGAGGGAAGGGGGAAGGGAGATAACAGGGAAAGAAGGGAAAGGGTCATCAAGGGACATATATAAAGGACCCATGGACAAAGCCAAAGTGGGGTGGGATCGAGGGTGGGAGGTGTGGATGGCTGGTGTGAGGAGGAGAGATGGGGGAAAATGGAGACAATTGTCCTTGAACAACAATAAAAAAAAAGAAGAAAATACAAGATAACATAGCTCAGAGCTCATGGTAAGCCAGATTTCTCTAAGCATAGAACCAAGAGAAGAAATTCATTATAGAAACAAGTTACATTTTTGACAAAATATTAATGATATACTTATAAGGTAACAATAAATACTATAAACTAAAAGGCAAATGACAAAAAGGAGAAAAGTATATGGTGGCTTACTGGTTAACATGCAGAATTTTTATCATTCATAAGAAAAGAATAACATGTCAATTGGTAACAGCAAAAAAATACATTAGGTAATTTACTACAAGGGATAAATAAGAAATGGAAGATGACAATATTTTAATGTGTATTAATTCATCAAGTTATATATTGGGGTTGGGTGAGCTCTAAAGCATCTCAATTGTAAATTCTATTCTTTGGAAAAAAGCCGTGGGAGTTTTACATCTGGACAAAGAAAAAGGTACTCAAGCACCGCATACTAAATGAATCCTAAACAAAAGAAAGTTGACAATAGCAACAAGCTGTTCCCTTTTTCCTCCATTGAGAAGAAAATGAATAAAAACACAGCATTACAGATTTAAGCTATAATTAAAGAAAATTTATTTGATATCAGAGGTTGTTAGAGATTAGATGCATTTAGATCACTTTTCAGTGTTTAGATAAGTTCAAAAGCAGAAAAGATTAAAAACCAAAACCAATAGAACATCTCTGGAGGTTTCTTTGAAAATATAATACATCATTCTAGACTGACAGAAACTTAAATACAATCCCAACAAAAGGAAAGAGGATAAATAGGAATTAGGTTACATCTGAGGTTTTTTCAATGCCTATTCTTAGTTGAAACTAATTTCAAAACAGCATGAAAAGTTAATGTCCTTCCAAACAAAACCACAATGCTTTGGTATTCAAACTATTACATTCAGGTAAGTAGTGAAACCTTTTTACAGAGTTTGAATTAATCCATTATTATCCACAATGCAAGTAGCTATTATTCTTACTAATGCTTTACTAGATACTAGCAACAACCTACTAGCTTCTACTGTATGTGCCTTTCTCCATGCCAGGCTCTATGCCATGTGCTTTACATAGTAAGGACTCTCTTTAATTCTAGCAGTAATCACACATGGGTGATCTCATTTCCATTTACTGAGGATAAAAGAACAGTTCAGAGGACATATGTATGCCTCTGGGAATTTTCTGAAGCTGGAGTATTTATTTGTTTCTCCCTGGAAAGGCATCCTGGAAGGAAGGGCAGCAGGGGGAGGGGTACGATGTGCGTAAGGTCCTGGAAACAGTCTTCCACCCAAAGGTGACAGGAGTTGGTGAGTTAAAGCGTCGGTCTCCTAGCCTGCTAAGATCTGCAAGACACATCCCTTCAAATCCTTAGTATTTGGATTTCTGCTCTTACTCTCAGATAACCATGCTTCCTACAGAGAAAACAGAAACTATCCAACAAGACTTCCCTTAATTCCTTGAAATCTATGAATTCATTCACACCACACCATCACTTCCTCTATTCTTATGTGTGGAAGAATTGTTTAATTCTCTGTTTAATGCTTATCCCTCAACCTATGCTTTCAATCCCCTCTTCTTTCTTCTCAAGCAATTTATGTTTAAATT